TCTACTATTAACTAATGCAATTATAGTGATTTTTTCTCAAAATTTTTTAAACTTTTTTATTTTGGAGCTTCCCTTCAAGTTCTAACTTGCGTTAACGCCGTCTCTAGTCTCATCAATCAAAACTACAATCTGCAAGCATGCACCACAATACCTATAGATGTATGGTTAACTCGCCGATAACTAAAATAAAGGATATGGACACGTTGACCCTTGATACAGACCTACTGACACAAAAAACTCATTTGTGTCTCCACTAGTTTTACTTGCATTAGTTAGTACTCCCTCGTACGTATCTCTCACAATGTCAATATATTCTCAAGATACTCTTTTTTTTTTCCCCAACACTCACCAAATTAACTCTTTAGGTACCCTATTGTATGCTTTCTCTGAATCAATAAGAAACCATGTGGAGGTCTTTTCTCTTTTGCTTAAACTTCTCAGTCAATTGTCTAAGTAGGAAAATAGCCTAAATTGTTGACCTCCCTGGCATAAAACCGAACTAATTTTTTGATACGCTCGTTCCATGTTGAAGTCGTTGCTCAATCACTCTCTACCACAACTTTATAATGTGGCTAGTTGGAACTTCGATAATTTGCACAATTATGTATGTCTTGTTTGTTCTTGTAAATGGAAGTTTTCTCTCTGTCTCCTTTATTCTTGTAAATAGGTACCACAATACTTTTTCTCCATTCATTTGACATTTTATTTGTTCTCAAGATCTTGTGAACAACTTGGTCAACCAGGATATGCAATTTATTCTCTGCACTTCCAAACCTCTATTGGGATACCTTATGGTCCTAAAGCTATTCCCATCTTCATCTTTTCCAAAGCTCCTCACTTTAAATATCTTAATCCTACAAATATATCTATGACCTTTGACCTCATTTATGTTGAAGGTTCCTCTGAATGATGTGCTTCCATAGTAGTCGTCATTTAGCAATTTTTGGAAATAAATTCTCCGCCTTTCATTGACCTAGTCATCCTTCATCATGACCCTTTGATTGTCATCATCATTAGAGCCTTTTCCCCACTATTTGGTTTGGCTACACGAATTCTTCATGAAGACCCTCTGATCTTCACTCTTAATGTATTTAACATGATCTAGATCCGTACGCTTCCTCTCTTAAATTAGCTAGTTTGAAGGAATCTTTTTCACCTCCTCTTGTCGTTAATTTATTGTTTAGATTATCATATGCCTTATGTTTAGCCTTACTATTTTCTTAGCATTCTTCTTAGCATTATTCTTCTAAATTTTGATCATTTGTATTCTCTTGCCAAACTTTATAACACTATCGTTTTTCGTCAATAGCTTGTTGAACCTCATCACTCTACCACCAAGTTTCCTTTTTTGAATGCCTTTTCCCTTTAGATTCTCCTATATTGTTTTTGCCACTTTTTTAATACATCAACCATCTCATTCCGCGTAACATAAGTTCTCCTTCAGAATTCTATTTTCCTTCTTTTATCAATTTGTCCCTAAATGAGTTTATTTTCTCTATTTTTTAAATTCTACCATCTAGTTCTTGGACACCTATTAATTTCACTCCTCTTCCTTCTCATTATATAAACATCCACAACCATGAGCCTTTGTTGCGTAGCCAAACTTTCTCATGGGATAACTTTATAGCCTTTACAAGATGGTCGATCTACTTTCTTAACTAGAAAGAAGTTTATCTGGCTTTTATATGTTCCACTTTTATAAGTTATTGAATATTCATGTCGCTTTTTAAAGTAGGTTTGCTATTACGAGGTCGAAAGCCATAGCAAAATCAAGAATAGTATCATCCATCTAATTTCTTTCCCCAAAACAATATCCTGCATGACCCTTTCATATCCTCTACTAGCTTTTCTGACATGACCATTTTAGTCCCCTTCTCAAAAAGCCCGCTCTCCATTTGGTATTGCTTGGACTAGTCCATCCATGCTCTCCACAATTATCTTTTAATTCTATCCTCTAGCCCTACTTGTGGCACCTAAGCACTGATTAATGTAATTATTTCCTCCCCTAACACAAGTTTAGTTAATAGGAGTCTGTCACATACTCTCCTGACATCTACTACTTTGTCTTTTAAAAATCTTCATTTGTTAGTAAGCCTACGCCACTTCGATTATTATTCTTTCCCAAAGACCAGAGTTTATATCCATTAATTTCCTTAGCTTTTACCCCTTTCCACTTAGTTTCCTTAAGCAAGCTATTTTAATTCGCCTTCGTCTCATTATATCCTCTAACTCCACACTCTTACTTGTTAAAGTTCCTACATTCCATGTGTTGAGATGAATCCTATTCTCTTGGCTTGACGAATCCTATTCTCTTCTTTCTTAAACTTTTCAATCAGTTGCCTAAGTAGGAAAATAGTCTCAATTATTGACCTCCCTGGCATAAAGCCAAACTGCTTTTCTGATACACTCGTTTCATGTCTTAGTCGTTGCTCAATCACTCTCTCTCACAAGTTTATAATGCGGCTCATAAGTTTGATCCCTTGATAGTTCGTACAGTTCTATATGTCTCGTTTGTTCTTGTGTATAGATACGCCAATACTTTTTCTCCATTTGTCTGGCATTTTCTTTGTTCTTAACATCTTGTTGAACAACTTGGCCAGCCAGAATATGCCAATCTCTCTCATGCATTTCCAGACTTCTATTGGGATGCCATTTGGTCCTAAGGCCTTTCCTACCTTCATCCTTCTCAAAGCTTCTTTTACTTCAAATAACCTAATCTGTCCAATGTATTTAAGACCTACAACTGCACTTATGTCGAAGGTTTGTCCTAACGTTGTGCTCCCGAAGTGTTCATCATTTTAACTTTGAAAATAAATTTGCCACCTTATGTTGACCTCATCATCCTTCTCCAACATCCTATGATCCTAAGGATGGAAATTGGATAATGTGCATGGACAGTCGTGCATCAATAAAATCATGATCAAATATCGTTTTTCAGTCCCACAATTGGATAACTTATGGGATAGGAGTGTATATCGTGGAATTCAAATCTGGCCCTGGGACAAATGGAAGACAGTGCTCATGACCAGAGATGGCCTTTATGACTGGCTTTGTGATGCTCGTGATGCCCTTTGGTCTTGTTAGAGCTCCTAGTACATTCATGTGCCTTATGATAAAGTATTACGCCCCTTTCATTGGTATGCTCATTTTTGTTTATTTTGGTGATATTGTTGTTTGCAGTGCTCGCTAAAGCGAGCACCTGGGCCATTTATGCCAAGTGTTGACTGTGTTAATGGAGGAGGAATTATGTATCCTTGGAAATTGTTCCTTGCTAGTGGACAGTGTGGGCTTTCTAAGGCTTTGTTTTATCTGGTGATGCTGTGAATTGTGAAGGTTGATATATAGAAGGCATGAGCAATTTGAGGGCAGCCATTCCAGAGACATTCAAGTCCTTACTTGTCACTGACTTGTAATGTTTTATTTGAGATTTATTTGAAATTTTAATACCCATATTGCTCTAATCAGAGATTGCCTAAAACGGTGGGTGTGAAGGATGATGAAGAGAAGATATGAGCAAATCAAGGGTGGTCAACTCAAGAGACATTCGGATCATTATTTTTCATGGGCTTGCCACTTTTATTGGAGATTTATTTAAAATAATCTGTGAGTGAGTAGCATTCATTCAAGAGTACCCTTTTCCACTTCAACACAATGCGGGAGCACAAAATAAAGTGGCTGATGCATTTAGTCAAAGAGTAGTACTGCTCAGTGCTTTTTGGGTAGTTTTGGGGTTCAACGTTATCAAGGTACTCTAGAAACATGATCCTTATTTTAAAGATAACCAGGAAAGGTGCAATCAAAGGGTGGACAGTACACATGGCTTCATTTTGCATGACAGTTTTCTCTTCAAAGAAAATTGACAATGCATTCCAATGGGTTACCCAAGAGGGGTGATATTGCAAGAGCTCCATGACGGAGGTTTAGGTGGTTACTTGGGGCGGGAATATGCAACAAACTCAAGCAAAAGATGTTGGTGCTTGTTCTACTGTACAGATGATCAATGGCATTGCAAATGAGGTAGAACTCCCCTGTGACTTGGATATTTCCCAATATCATTGTTGCTGATTTCTACAAGTTTGGTGACCAGCCCGAGGAATGAATGGAAGAGCTAGCTGATTCATGAAGCAATTGCCGAAGAAAGCCATAGTAGTTCTCAAGCAAATTTTGAAGACTGCGGACCTTAAAACTTAAAAGGGTGTTGACAACACTTACTTAAATGGAAGGGAAGGGTGCCTTCAGATGGCATTGGGATTTTTGAAGAAGAGTTCAAGATGCTAGATGCTGATTTATATCCCCTCTTCACAGAAAACAACCCGGAGTTGAATTCTTTCCAACACAGAGGGAATGATGGTGCATCAAGGAAATTGGAAGACTTCTCAAATCTGGGACAAAGGGCAAAACAGTCTTATTAATGGGTTCTGGGAGGCTTACATAACCTTTTTCTGGTTTTTTGGAACTTTTAGATTTTCTTTGAGGTAAATATCGGGTCGACTTAGAAAGTTACTCCTTTTTTTTTTGGGTTTCTTTTTGGGAATAGATATTAGTCAGTCAGGGCTAGAATTGATGGTGTAGATTAAGATAAATATATGGCAATGATTTTGTACAGACTTGTATTTGAGAAGGTTTAAATAATTGTTTCAGAGAGAGAAATTGTGGACTTCTGAAATTTTGATATGAAATTTGGAAGCTTTTGTGCTCTTCCTTTGTGTTTGATTTCCTTTAGCTATTGTGCAGAATTTTTGAGCTTGGTGGTTTGATAATTTGCATGCTTTTGTATTTTTATTCAATGATAAGATATTAGGGCCCCTGACAGTATTGCCTAATTTTTTTTTTTGGTGTTTTTGTTGTGTTCTTGGTTCTTGTGTTTGTGTTTGTGTTGTGGTTTTGTTTTTGGAGTGTCTTACCGAATCATAGTCCTTAGTTGGAAACCTTAAGAGTATTGTAAATCTTCAGTCATCTTTCATTGCTCTAATTTTACTTTCTGGTTCATGTATATCCAGGCCCACCAAGAAATATTTGGACGACTTGTTGATTTGATTGGGATCACATCCATCATGGAGGTCAGTACGCTCGGTACTGGAAACACATCCTCATATTCTAGTCAAGCTGTCTTAATGAAGTCAAAGTACATTGTGGAGTTTATAGATAATTGACTTATGGAAGTCTAGGCTGTTATTTTTCTGATCTGCCATTTTAATATGCTTGCAGTGCAGTTTAGTCACCTGTTTCACTAGACTATTCTGCACTCTTGAGTATGCCCTCTGCTATTTACAAGTTTTTCTCAAAGATGTGTATGAGTTCCAGCTGTAGGGTATTAAAAAATCATAACTCTGCAAATATTTGTCTAACACTTTCTGGCAATAACAGGTTCTGGTAAGACTTGTGGGTGCTGATGATCACATGTACACCAACTTTACTGATGTGATGCAGTGGTTAGCTGATACAAATTTGCTTGAAATGATCGCGGATAAACTGAGTCCATCTGTGAGTGTGCGCATAGCTCTTTTTTTTTTTTTGAACTCATCCTTTTCTTTCAACAATGAATTCTGTTTTATCTCAAAGTTGTGTTCTATCACAATTCTAAGCTGGAATATGTTGTAGGTTTTTTAGTGATGAAGTATTGGATTCCATGAACTGAAGGAACACAAGGGAATTACAAGAGGAAAGGGTCATTAGACTATATGTCTTAAAATTACAATACCACAAACCATCCACATTATGCTTTATATTATCTAGAGCATCTAACACCGTGTCCACTTTGATTTCTATGAATAGGTAAGCTGGTTTGGGCTCTAGGCTTAGTGGTTAGGGTGGTCATACCACAACATAACCAGAAGTTCGAGTCCCACCGAAAGAAGTGATAGTATATCTTCAATATACACCAATAAATGTCATGCATATACTGCAAAGACATAATAATTTTCTTGCAGAACCTAGGATCTCAGTACTTTTTTGTGATATTTAATTCAGTGGTTGACTCAGGCACTGCCCAAACTGAGTTTACTTGCCACGTCAAACGGTAAAATCTGACTTTTTTTTAGTCAGAAAAAATTGGTAAGTCTTTTCAAAAAGTACGAAAAATTAAAAAGAAAAACTTTCAGTTATGGGAAACAAACCCAGCTCAGGAATCGAGCCTGAAAAAGACCATTTGTTGGTCAAATGAACAAAAAAGTATATAAAATGAAAAATCTGGCACATACTGAGTTTTTTTATTTATAAAACTTGCTTAGCGGAGGAGTCAAGTTGACTAGGTAGTTTCCACTCAGAAACCAGTTTCGATTCCTTGGGTTTTTTTAATAAGATACATGGGGTGAAATTTAAGAGAGTCCACAAGGTGCTTCTGTACAATTTCGTAACCATATCGTGTTGCTCTGAAATGTATCAGAATTCACCTGAAGTTCATGCAAATGCAGCAGAAACACTTTGTGCAATAACTCGAAACTCTTCATCGGCTCTAGCTGCTAAAATTTCTACCCCAAGGTATGTGTAGACTGAATCTATGTTTCTGAGAGATGGAGCTTTACTAAGACTCCCATCGTGTCTCAATTTTGTATTATTTTATTGACATTATATTCTAGCATTATAATAATGGGAATGCATGGCTGGCTCCCTTCTTTTCCTGTTTGCAGCTTTGTTGGTAGAATATTTGGCCATGCATTGGAACATGCACCTTCCAGGTCTTCTTTGGTTCATTCACTGTCAGTATGTATCTCTTTGCTGGACCCTAGGAGAGCTGCTTTGGCTCCACCAGGTCATCTGATTAGAGGCCAACACTTATTTGACCCACCCTTTTCTGCTAATCCTGAGACAGTCAGTGGTATGCTCCTGAAACTTGGTAAGTCCCCTGTTGCTTTTCGCAATGTTTTAGTTCAAAAAACCTTGCAGAGGTTCTCTCCTTGTTTATGGTTTTCCTTTAGAAAATTGTCTGCCTCATCTTGAGGCAAATCATAATAAGCAACACCACTGACTGTTGGAACTCTGTGGCTTCAAATTCGATTTAAGTTGCTTGAGAGCAATAGAGGAGGTGGGGTGGGATTTCTAGGAGCCTATGAGCTAAAAGGTTGAGTAGGGTGGTACAACTAGTTTCTGTCGGGTCCATGCTCATTTATTGTTGCATTCGATGGTTTTGACCGGAGTTTAAAAAAGTGCCTTCTGGATTAGGAATTGCTGATTTTGATAGGATTCATTAGGGGACTGCTGGTTGCTTTACAGAATTGGGAATCGGTCTGACTTGGGGGAATCACCCAGTTTTTTCAGTGTCCTGGGAGAGTCTGTAAGTGGATGGCAATCAGGGTCAGAGAACTGGGTGATTCCCATTTTATGTATTTTATATTTTTAATTTTTAAAATTTTAATATTTTTTGACCTCGGTGAATCACTGATCTGGATCTGGCATTGCCAATCCAGATCGCGTCAGTGGAGGGCCGATCCAATGCTTGATACTGGCTTTTATTATCCTGGTTATGACTGAACTGACTATATCATATTCCACTGGACTAGTATAGTTTTCCTTGCTTTTGATGAAGTTTATAATGAATGTACTTTCCCTAGTTGAATGTGTTACATTTGTGAACTTTATCATCACTAGCTTGAATTAGTACTTAATGTTTTCAGTACTATTTTGTTGCCACTTTTTGGTGCAGGTGACTTGCTTATGCTTTTGAACGTGTCCTCTGACGAAAGTGTTTTGCCTACTACATATGGTGAACTGTGTCCGCCTCTTGGGAAGCATCGTTTGAAGGTACTCTGGAAGTGGTTTCTTTCTTTAAAGAGCTGTTCCTAGTGAATTTCCTGTTCTCAGTGCATAAATTTTTAGAGCAGTTCTATGTTATCGTGGTCTAAACTTCTGTTTTAGTCTTGTGCATCTTTTAGTGTATTTTGATTAGAACTTTGTTAACGTGGCAAGGAGTTTCTCTCTTCCCATTGTCTAGTACTTCGAACCTTCTAGTATGTCATGCGATGTTGCTGCCTCCAGTGCCATGCTAACCAATGAAAGAAAAGAGCTCTTTGTATAGTTTTAGTTTATTGAAATGTCGTTCATTTAATGATTAGGAGTCTTCCCTTGATATTGAAGGTGAGGTGCTTTTGGCTTTGCTTATGTCTTTTTTTTATTCTGAACTTATTGGTCTTGATATTTGAAAATTTCAGATTGTGGAGTTTATAGCTGTACTGTTGAGAACTGGCAGTGATATTGCTGAAAAGGAATTGGTCAGCTCGGGTGCAATACATAGAATTCTGGACCTCTTCTTTGAGTAAGTTCTTCTTTTGGATGATTTAAATTAAGACAAATATAAATAGTGGATAAATATGCACATTTGAATTTTTGAGGTACATATGGCTAACTGGACTGCTATAACAATGGATATTTCATAAATGCAGGTTTCCATTCAACAATTCTTTGCATCATCATGTGGAGAGTATCATAATGTCATGCTTGGAGAGCAAGAACAGTACATTAATAGATCACCTCTTTAAAGAATGTGATTTAATTGGCAAAGTCCTTTCTGCAGACAAGAACCCAACTCTTTCCAGTGATACAAATGGGGTATTTATGTTGTCTTTGTAAAATTTGGTTGTATTGCTATATAGTCATGGCTCACATTTTATTGTTGTTGATATTATTATCTATTAAAAGTTAACATTTGATTATGAGGATCCATAAATTAATGACTGACATTATTAGACTTTGATTTTGTTCTTTGCAGCCAACAATGCCTGCTCCTGGAAGACCCTCCCCTAGGATAGGCAACATTGGACACCTCACACGTATGGCTAACAAGCTTGTTCAGTTGGGGAATAGCAACAGTCAAGTTCAAGCATATCTGCAGGTATTACACCACCTTGCTCATACAAAGCCCTACTAAATTTTAGATTTACCCATCTTTTAGTGTCTATTCTGACTAGAAATGATCTTACTGGAGTCAACATATTCAATATTATTTTATTAAATTTGAGTCTCCCCCCTTCCTTTTAGTATCTATTCTGACAGAAAATAATCTTTATGGAGTCTGCTACGTTAGTTTTAAGTCATCATATTTGGCCGAATTTTGTTTATTTCATGAATCTGGAAAGATCCTATTGAGTAAGTATGTGTAAAGAAGGTTTTCTGCTAAGTTCCTAGAAAGGTAAATGCTGGTAGGCTAGCCATGGAAAAGTTATATGAGGGATGAAGCAGCCTAGGAAAAGTGTTATGGAGGTCTGTTTTGTGGGTTTTAGTTTCATAGCAATAATGGAGTTCGTTCCTCTTGGCTTCTAGTTGTTTAGGTTCCTGTTAATGCCTCTTTTTGTCTGTTATCTTCCTTGATGATCTTCAAGTTCGATCGACTCTATGTTTAGCTTCCTCATTAGGTTTACCTTAAACCAATTCATCCCTCAACTTCTTTGGGAAGGATCTTCTTGCAGTTTGTAGACTTCAAACCAGATGGTTGACATTCTAAATACTTATGGCTTTAAATAACTTGTTATACGATAGTTTATTCTATTTTCAACAATAGTTAACAAAGTTCTTCAGCATTTCTGTTGAGTGCATCTTTAAGATACTCACCTTCATGTAGTAACCACTAACCAATTATGAATCTTATGCTCTATGCTTGGGCTTCTCCCTGCCATACCTTATCCTGCATTATAGCATAACTTTTCATTTGAATTACCTGAATTGGCATTGCCGTGAGTGTGTGTGTGTGGGTGGGGGTGGGGGGTGGGGGGTGGGGGGGGGTAGTAAGTTGTGTATACTAAAGTGTCTCGTACCCTAATTAAATTAAATTTAAGTTGGTTTTACTACTATACTATAGTACTACGTTCTTTTCTTAACTAACCAAGTATAGTA